ACCCAGAAAGACTTTTTACTGTATCCCGTGAACAAGGATAAGATCCGTTCTCATAAAACGTGACGCAGTTACCAAGTTAACAGGGTCTCTAACGGATGGTTCTTAACTGGCTTGGCATTTGCATTACTGTCATGGCCATAGGCCAAGCACCACTCAGGCAAACTTTCAACATGCCTTTCCTTTTGTTCAAGCTATTTACTCAGACCTGGCCAAATCTGTAAGAAGCTGTTCATTTTCTTCAGAAGCGATTCCAGATACTTGGTCTTCTGAAAACATGTTCTGGCAGATCCGGGCAAGCGCTGAAGGCTGGAAACTTGGGGCATTTCCTGCGTGGCCACCCATATTTCTCCCCCAAGAGCCCTCACTTTCAAAAGGAGGTCTATTTTCTTAAGAATCACAATTAAAATTTGGAAGACTCAATATCAAAAGCAAACGCAGTACCAGGTCCTTCTAGGAAATGAGATGTAACATAGCATACAAGAAAGGCAAGGAAGCTTTTGTAACAGCCACTCATCAGAGCTGCAACAGGCAAATAAACCCCACTTGCATCCTCCAAAAATCCCCTAACTAGCAGGCTCTGCTCCCACTATCCAGAACAGCTTCCACAGCTCTCCTGCAAGCCCAGCCCCAGTTTACAGCCCTGTCCAGGCTCAGAAGCTGAGGCATTCCTCCAAACAATCCCATTCAGCACGGGTTTTGTGAGCCACTCTGAAGAAAGCATGACGTGTTGGAGTGCTGTCGTTACCTCCGACAAACACTAGCACTCATAACCTGCAGGAGCCGATCCCTGCAATGAGGAGCATCACCCACATTAAGTGACCCACTGATACAGAGCTGTCGTACCGTCTGGGTTGAGGCAACACTGAAATACCTGCAGAGAGCAGTGCTGCAGCAACTGTGCAGAACAAAACAAGACAGCTCACGTATAGACGCAGTGGGTATTACTACAGCCTTACTCAAAATGACTCTCTGTCATCATCACACTTCAGCTGAAGCTGCCAGACCGCTTTCCTCCCTGTTGATGTGCTCCACATATTTGCTGAAGTGCCCAAAGGATAAGAGGAGCCAATAAATCCAAGTTCAGTATCTAGTACTGACGTACCACCAGCGCACCAAACAAAGACTTCTCAGAAACGCAGCCCTCTTGGCACTGGACTAGGGCAGGTGTGTCTGATCCTCTGGGTGGAACAAGCTCTTGAACTTATCTGCAGAAATGTCCCAAGAAGGAGCATGTTTCAGAAGAGGAAGTGCTGATGAAAGGAGCCAGGTTTGGCCAATTACAAGCTGCCAGCAGCTTGGACTCAGAGCTGAGGATTTTTTTGAAGAGTTTTTTTTCTATTATTTTAAGACCAGGACAAACATCATCCGTTCATTAACTGTATCATGTCCTTCTCCATGTGGCTTGCCTCTTTCTCTTAAGAGCTGAAAAAACAAAGCCCTGTGAAGACCTATTGCTGTAATGGTAAAGGCTGAAAGAGTGCACAGAGGGAAAGAAAGAAAGGGAAAGCAGCCACAGAGTTTCATGGAAACCTTCTCATAACTTCTGCAATATTATTTCCTAGCTTCTCTTCAGGGACATGTATCTGGATACACACCAGCACACGGTCACTTGGTGTGTGGTCTGGTCAGCCAAAACTCTACCGTCTGCTTTCTTTTCAGCCCACATCCTCTCTGTAATTAAAAGGAGCTGCCTTTCCCCTCACTGGCTTTCAGAAACCCTTGAAGAAACTGAAGAGGGGGTTGAAGGAAGGACCAAGAGGTTTTGATTGGTTTCCTAAAGGTACTTTCTCCCACTGACACCTCTATTTTAGGTACTTTTTCAAAGATATCTGTATTGTTTCCTTTGAAACCTTTTATTTCTCAGAAAGGAAAAAAAAGAAATATATAGACCTGTCCAGTGCAGAGATTAAAAAAAAAAAAAAAAAGCAGCTCTGTCAGGATACAACTAGGTGAGAATAACAACACATTGTTCCATCTGTGTGTGTGTAATGTAACACGGAAAGGGCAAAAACATAGCGGGAAGACGGCCACCCAAATTTGCAGCTTTCACAGCACATAAAGCTACTCATTCTATACTCTATTCGGTGTTGCAGCTCTCATTCCCAAGAATGTTTATGCACATGTTTTGGGGCCATCATTGGCGGGAAGAGAGCATATCGCTCAGATGAAGTATAAGCAAAACTGGCCTACCTAACCAGTGACCATGTCCAAGCAAAGTTTCCATGCTCGAGACTACAGGACAATCCTTGCCCCAAGTCATGGAATAGAGATGGGATGAGCCAGGAAGGAGCAAGGACTTGCAGGTAAAAGTAGTCAATGAAAGAATTCTTTCTTTCCTCGTCTTCAATTTGTGATGCCTCAAAGCTCAACGCGTTGCCTCTAAGCTTGTGTGTCACGTTTAATGTACTTTCCTGGAAACATGGTATGTGTCACAGCTTTGGTTTACTCAGAACTGTGAGAGTTGGTCAGACTTTCCACTGAGTTACAATCTGTCAGCAGGTCGTGGTGGTATTGTTCAATACTCTGGTATTAAGGCATGCTGCATTGCTCTGCTCTTAACTTGCATCTCATTACTGCAGGGCACCGCTCATGCATTAAGGGCATGAATTGGCTTGATCTTATAGCCAAAACAATACTGTTATTAAACATTTACCGCAATATAAAGGTCTCCCTGCAGTAGGAAGCGGTCCAAACCCCCTCCGATAATCTGACACTCCCTTCCTCCCCCCTCTCTGCTTTTTGCCACAGAGAAAGCAGAAAGGAGTAAAGAAATAACAGCAAGAATAAAAGTGCTCTGAGACTCCGTAGACAGCTGTAGCTGTTCCACAGGAGGCCAAGCTGTTATCCACTCAGTCTCCAGACGTGCCACAGCTGGAAGAGGGGAGGCAGCGGACCCACACAGGTGGGAGGCAACAAACTGCGGCAGCAAAAACACACGTGGCCTTTGGCGGAGGCACAGGGACAGAGCTAAGGGAAGAAAACTACGCGAACTTACGGACTGACTCCACAGCAGAAAGCACGAGTGCAGTAATGCAGGTGTGGGAACTGGCTCTCCTGGCAAAGCAATTTACCCTGCTGTTTCGGGGTAATTATGCTGCTAGCTGGGTATCTTTCCGCATCAGGACACTGTTGCACAGCCATAACCTGCATCTGCTTGCACACTGCCTAGCTAAGCAGGTGCTGTCAGTACTTCACTTTACGATCAGACAACACCCTGACTCACAAAATTACATGAAAAGAGACACTAAGCTCACATGAAGATAACTCCCCATTTGACACGTATTCCCTTGCTGTCGTAGCTTGCTCAAGGCAGCTCTCTGTGACTGAGTTTATTTTCCATTCCAATTAGAAGCACTTCCTGCCTCTCTCATTAACTCATGGCCACTTCTGATTGCAAGATTACTGGGGAGCTGGTGAAGTCAAATCCAAACACTCCCCACCCAGCCAATGCACAGGAAAAGCCGGACTTTTTCCCTTCCGCTGTGTTGCTCCATAGCGTGAGGAGCTGTGGTCAGTCAGAGCCATCCGAGAGGCGAAGGGTCAGACTGCTGGGTTGTGTTCCCCAATGCAGAAGGAGGCATTTGAAAAATAAGGCAGCTGCAAACGCTCCCTCTTGCCAAGCTAAGGCATGACTGCACTTGGCAGACAGGGCAGAGAGGAGCGCAGGTTCGAGTCCAGTGACAATTGCAAGGAGGGAAGAAATAATAATCATAGAATCATCGAATGCTTTGGGCTGGAAGGGACCTTTAGAGGCCACCCAGCCCAACCCCTGCAGTGACAGGGACAGCTTTAACCAGAGCAGGGTGCTCACAGCCCCGTCCAACCTGGCCTGGGATGTTTCCAGGGATGGAGCCTCCACCACCTCTCTGGGCAAGGCCAAGAAGGGTTTCATCTGAGCTGTTAAGGCAACAAGGAGAGGGTAAAGTCTCACCGGAGGCAGTTGGCATTGCCATGCTGCTCTGACCCACCAGCAGCTCCGGCAGCACCTGGCTGTGGGGGGAGAGGTACGCGGGGAGGGACCGAGGCTCAAACCGTGCTGGTGTTGCTCGCATCCTGTTCGATGTCAGTGACCTGCCAGGTGGAAATGCTCTGTCCATGCTGTCATTTGCACAAAGTTGCTCTAAACGCACTGTTGATCAAAGGATTTATAAACTCATTGGAGTTTCCTAAACAAAATTAGGGTTGTTTAAACAGAAGCTACCACAAAAAAAAAAAAAAAAAAAAAAAAAGAGTAAAAAACAGTCTGTGTTACAAGTGCCTGGAGAAACCTTTGCTGAGCTATTTCCCTGCAAGGCACCAGCTGGATGGCGCTCATGGAAGGTTCATGCCTCGAACCCACAACCTGCTCCTTTTATCTCAGGGACTCATTGGGTCAATGTTATTCTTTGCCTCTTCCTTTTAGTTCACCTTCAGAGAGTTCCACCCAGTGCATCTGCTCCACCGCATCGTGAGGGGCTACATTCGCAAAGACCATCAGCAAAACTGCAGCTTTCCTTTCTGACATTGCCTTGGTTCCAAAGAACACAAGAGCACTTTAAAGGTGATGCACGTGGTACTGTCTGGGAACGCGGCCACCGTGAGGCTGCTCCCTCTCTTATGGAGGTGCTGCTGGGATCCCTTACAAACACAGAAAACAAGTCTCTCCCAAAGGCAGCTACATCGAGTTCCTTTAAAATGGGAGTGAGATGATTCATCCCTGCTGGGATTGAACATGCTCTCCCCGGGAATGTAAGTGGGCTCCTTATCTTCCCTGTGCTGGCAACAGGGCCATGTGCAACCCACAGGGATGAACAAACCGGCGGAAAGTAGCGTGTGGCTTCCAGCACAGCCTCTGCAGCGATGGGGAGAGTTCAGTGACCCTTTCACTTCAAGTGGTACCACAGAGAGCTCATCTCTGCGCAGTGCCTCTCCCCTTGCACGTACGTTAAATCGGAGCAGGGTGTGCTGGAGCGTTCAAGACAGCCCCGTCCTCCAGTGCCCGTCTGCTGCTGTCTGCTTACCTGACAGAAAGAGTGAAATCTCCTGGGTTGCTCTTGCTGGGTCGGGCCAGAAAGCTGCCATGGACACCCCTGGTCAGGAGCAGCTTCTCTGCTTCAATTCCACTGATGTTGGGATGAAACCACCTGCAAAGTGCAAACATGATGTATGAAACGGTGATCAGCCTGAGCCTGCCCCAGCTGCCTTCCCTGCTGCCCAAGGGGAAGACATTTTCTTCCTACCTGCCAGGCAGGCACAGAGCCCCAGTCCCCTCTAGCAGGACACCTGCCTTCCGCCCCACCGCATCGCAGTAACAGCTTTCAGTCAGAAAAGCTCTCCATTCAGATGTTACCATGGAGAAAGTCTTCTCAGACATCCATCAAGAGAGGTGTCTCTCCCAAAGGACTTTGTCCTCCTCTCCCTCAGCTCAGGCACAACAAGAACCCTGCACACTTCCTGCAGCACAGACAGGAGATTCCCTCTCCGGAGGAAACCACTGGCTGAGAAAAGAGTTTTGACTTCTCTGACTCCAGGTCTGATCCTGGCCGGCTGCTTCCCACCCAGCACTTACCAAGCTCACACCCTCTGAGCTGTCCTGTTGCGGGCAAATGAACTGTGCCCAAGACAAGACCTGCATCCCTGAGGGCACTTCAGGCATTTCTTTAAGGGCTTCCCAGCATGCTTCATGACAGAAAACCAGAAAAAGCTCCAATATCAAGAGCACTAAACGGCTTGTTCTCCCCAGCAAGAACAAGTCTCAGGCCTTTGCCTCTCCCATTTGAATTCTGTTAGGAAGAGGGAATGCTCAGAGCTGGAGAGAAGACAGGCTTTCCTTCGAGACTCCGTCCGGGAAGGAAAGGCACGCTCTGGTCTGCAATACCCTGCAGCAGCGATGAGCCCTTATGCTACGAGAGGACTTCCTAAGTGTTGGTGCAAACACAACGGCAAGTGCACGTTCCAAGATCACCCTCTTTGCCCAGTCCATGGAAAATAACAACTCTGCTCCAGCCCTAGCTAAGGCAGCTTTGAGTCTTCAACCTCAAGTGAAGCAGCTGCTTTTTAACTCCAATTAGTTGTAGCTCAAGCTGTGGGGCCACCTTTCCCAAGAGCACAGCAGAAAATGACCCAAGCTGCACAACTGCTGTGTCAAAAGCAAAGTTCTCCGCGCAGGACCAGTGCACAGCCAGGGAAGCAGCAGAGGAAACGCTGCTTTGCACGCTGCTGGAAAGCAACGGTGCAGTTGGCGTACCTACCTAACAGGACATACTAGAAAAGGAAAGGAGAGACGGCTCACCGTAAGGGGAAAAATGTTTCATCATAGTATGTGCTACTTTAATGTAATCTTTGTATTTTAAGTGTCATCAAACCATCTGCTGACCTAATTTCGGATGCTATTAGTCTTGATCAAGTTTTCTTAAAGGAATCGCAAGAACTGGTGTTTCCCCAGGCTTTAATGTGTACTAAATATGCATACTAGACCAATGATTTCCCATGTGGCACCAGTTTCATGGCTCAATTTTTCAGAAGCTGCTGAAAATCCACTTTCTAAATGCCAGGCTCTTTTGAGTAATCTCACAAGTCACACGAAGAGCACCCCAAACTGCGAGTCACTCAATTCTGAAAGTATTGCTCAGTTTTAGATCATGTTCCAGCAGACATTTCTGCATGGGACTGCTGTAATATTTTTCATGAGCAAAGAGGAGAAGATGAGCCACAACTAACACTGTGTGATAACAAAGATAGCTTACTGAGTTTCTGGGCAGCACCAGCTGCCAGAGAACAGGCTGCCCACTCAAAACTCCCTTCAGAGCGAAGGACGATGCTCTCAGCTTCTGCATAGGCAGACAGGTCCGTGGCACCGCTCTGAACCAGACGACTCAAAACTGCAAGACTTAGTTTTCCAAGCAAAGTGAAATGCGGGTTCTCGAGAGAGGCGCGTATCTGGAAACATTTAGTAAGCTAGTTTCTTTGATCCAGACGGCTGTACACGACTAGCTAACACCGCTGTCCGTCCCCCCACGCCGTTGCAGAGAAATGCGTAACCTAGCATTTCACCAAGCGCCTGCGTTAGGCAACACACCCGAAGACTAAACCTACAAACATACGCACACTCAGACTCTGTTTGTCTCCGAGATACACATAGAAAAGGTCAAGAAATGTCACCATCTCCTCCACAACGTGGGATTTCCTCCCTCCCACCACAAGCCAAACAGTTTTGATTAAAGATCCTTGAATTCTGGAGGAGGAGAGGTCTATTAGGGAAGGGCCGTGGAAACAGATGGTAAACAGGAATCCCAGTGTTTCCAAGCCTTCTATTCCTGACATCACAAGAGTGACACCCTTTCATAAATCCACTGTCTGCAGGGCCAGCACTTAACTGTGCCGCAAAACCGCTACTGGCATAGGACCGAATGCCTCTAATGGAGCTTAATGGAGCTCAGGGACAACGCAAAGCTGCCAAAGGCCACACATAACGTTTCCACTGAATGCCTAACGGCAATAAAGCCAGCACAATATTGCTAGCCAGAACACAGTAGGAAAAACCTAAGGAAACATCTCTGGTAAAACGGTGGGATGAGAGCTCTCGTAGGCACGTACCCATAGCTGCGAGCACACACCAGTTCTGAGAATATCCCGGTCAGTGTGACAGCAGCGTCCTCCCGGGATGGACACTCCTCAGAGGCTGCCCTGGCAGCAGGAACCACCTACCCCCACACCTCCCCTCGTCGCCCTGTCACTCAAGGCTCCCATATAAATACTTGTCCTGGGATGCCCTCAGCTGGAGCCAGACCTGTGTGATGCTGAGAATGGACAACTCCGTGTAGGTTGCCAATGTCAGGAAGGGGGCAGAGGTGCTGGGGCTGTAAATCTTCCAGCATCCGAGGCACTGGGTTCCCACAAGGAAGAAGGCGACAGGAACAAAAAGACCTTATGTCCAACATCCCCTCGAAGTGGAAGGCTGGATGCTTGGGAAGGGAGGACCATAACCCTTTTCAACCCTGTTGACCACAGCTACAAAACTGATTCACATCAGTCCCTTTTCAGCATCTTTTCCTCAGTGAAACACTGAGAGGGAATAGCAGGGGCCACTTGCAAACTCTCTGCAAACACTCAAGAGTGGGACAGGACTGTTTAACAAGAGAGAGGGAAGGAGCATATTGGGGGCAAATTTGGGGCTCCGTCAACTTTGATGTTGTCTTTGTGTCACTGAACAGAAACCTAAATGCCCGTCCCCTTAACGACTCCCACCACTTGGACAGGAACCAGTCCACACACGCATACACAGCCCGCTTGTTATTTAGCTTGTGGGAAACAAACAACGAGCTGAGCAGAAAATCTCTGCAGCCCTCACAAACAGAAGAGGGAGGAAAGGCAATTTCCAAATTCAGCAGCAAAAAAAAAAAAAAAAAAAAACCAAAAAGAGAAGAAAAAAAGGGAAAAAGCCCTCTGCAAGCATAGAGACCTCTCCCATGGATTTCCAGACCAAAGAAAATCTCCTTGCACAACTCATCTTCGGAGGGCTGCATATGAACGGGAACGTATTGCTTGGCACTGCCTCGCACAGGCCACCGCCTTGAGCCAGCGAAGACACCACAGGCCTGTGCCATGAAAGGGTTGTTTTCAAATTCAAGGTCGTCTCCATTTGGGAATTCCGGTCCCAAAATTGAGCACTGGCTCCCCAGAGGCTTTTCTGCCTGGACTACATGGGAATTTGCAAAAAACCCACGAGGTTTGTTGCAGCGCACATCCTCAACCCCTCATGCAGCTCAGAGCTAGAAATGGCTCAGAACTCCTCTCCCACTCACAGGATATTCTGGCACACCTATTGCCAGGTCCCAGCTCCCTGTTCCTGTAAATGGCGGAATCAAAAACAACAGCAAAACCAGCCAAAACTGAACTTCAGGCTCTTCGGCTCGCGAAGGTTGCCCCATCCTACTCGGTGTACACCAAGAGCCCGTCCGCTCTGAAGCTCTCCGCCGCTTCATCCTGTGGGTGAAGGCACAACTGCCACAGCCGCTAGGTAGCCTGAGGTGCTTTTAGCAACGCAGCTTGTTTTTCTCCTGACCTGGAGTAAGCCGTACTTGCAGAAAGCATCTTTAGAGCTGTTTTTCATTACGTTTTGTGCTGGAGTACATTTGTTGGTAAGCAAAACTAACCCACAACAGAGCAGGCAAGAAAAAAGCACCAACCCACACATCCCTCGCTAAATGGCAATACCAAAACCTGCAACGAGCTTTAGACAGTCCCACAGACTGCAAGCTCTAGCCGTACGTCAGGGGAGCAAGCACCGCTCACTCGCAGGTGAGCCCTGGCTTCAAGTCAGACCTTTTGGACTCACAGATTGTTTATGGGAAGAGCTGCAGTATTATGAGAAGGAAAACAAATAAAGAGGATCCCAGCTAGATCCCCAGACTGGTTGGGGGGGGAAGCATTATTAATGTCACGCCGTTGTTTTGACGTCAGCAAGTGACAAGCGTTACGGTGCAGCAGGTCATTCAGGCAACCCGCTCAATTGCGCTCTTTGCAGAACTGAGTCACCCCTAAAGAATTGCTTTAAATAAGAGTGGGGAATCTAACAACTTTTCATCTCTACCGCTACAAGTAAACATACACCGTCTACTTCAGGCAATATTGCTTTCCTGCAGAGAAATGCATTTCCCTTCCATCATTCAATCCATCTAAAATCAAACGTAAATTAACAAGCCATCTGCAAGTGCCTTTCAGGAACCAAAGGCAACAACCACAGCTACATGAAGAAATTTATTAAAATAAACAAAGAGAAAACGGAGAGACTTGCATGCAGTGCTCAGTCCCCAACACAGACTCACAGGAAGATACTGCTTGGGCTGCGGGAGGGAAAGGGGGCATGATCCGCTCAGAAGGGGAACCGACCCCGCACGGTGGGAGAGGGCTCTGTGCAGGGTTCAGGTCAGGCTGACCAGCACACCAGAGCACGGCACGTTCAGCAGCGGAAAGGTCTGATTGTCACAAGAACACCACAAAGCCCGTCGTGAGAAATCCGGCGTGACCGAGGGTGCCGTGGGGGTGGTAGCCACTGACGTGGCGTGCCCTCGACACCACTTTCCTCGCGGGGAGCCCCTCAAAACGCCAGCTCCGGCTCCTGACTCCTCGCACTGCATCAGCT